GCATTTGTAGTGCTTTTTAAATTTACCTCGATGAATGCTATATTTTTGGATTCGTTACGAATTCCCAAGTTAAACTGCGTTTTCCAAAAAGTTCCCCGACGCAAGGATTCTTAGCAAAAGGACCTTAAAGTTCGAAAAATGTTGAAATTGGCCAACTTTCCGCAGCTCTCAGAGGCAAACGGATTCATGCTTTGATTCGATGTTAAAGTTTTTTAAAAGATACACTCTTTATCATTCAAACCCCATACTTAAAATATTTTAGGATTTTTATTAAGGGAGAAACAAATTTTAGAAAAAAAAATCAAAAAACATAAAAGTATACAGCTGCGGTCAAAATAGTAGTAGTGTTGCCGCCCTGTGTTTTTAAAAGTTTTTTTGTTGTAATTCATCTTCTTCTGGTAATATTGTATTGATTATAATTGTACTATTAGACTAATTGGATAAGAAAGGTGACAATAACAAACTTTTTTTTTTTTTGAACACGTATATTTATATATTTATGTGCAAATACATATATACAGATAATATTTTATATTTATATTTAATATTACATATATATAATTTTTAGTTTATATTTATTAATAAATGAAAGAAAACAATATTTATTTTTGTTTTTTTTTGCTTTTATTTATAATGTTAAAATCAAGTATTTGCCGCACATTTTTTTTTACCGCGTTTTCTTGAATTCTGAATGCTATGCTATGCATTTTCACTTGCCGAAAAATAAATTTTAGCGGCGCTCATCTTTTACATATGTATTTTTTCTTGTCCCGATGAAAAGTGAGACCACTTAAAATTATCAAAAAAATTTGAAAAAATATCGATGATATATGATAATTATTCAAAAAAAATATCACGATAAAAATATTTATTTTTTAAATTATTCTTTTTAAATTGTGTTAAAGATTTTCGGCGTTTTTTTTGCATAGTCCTATGTAGCGAATGCAGACGTACCACCTCTGAAAAAAAAATTGAACTTGGCTTCTGCATCCCGTTAAATAGTATCATTCTTATAGTCAGTAAAGGAGATACTTCTAGCCTTTGTTTATGTTTATGTATTTAACCACGGATTGCAGTCGAAATGCACTTGTCTTTCTCTCTCACTCTACAATAACTAATTAACCAATGAAGGCTGCCAGCTCGACAATACATACTGGAACAACAATTAACAAAGTGCCACCGCTTTTTGAAATCTCTAGAATCTAAAGAAGTATTGTCCCTTATTCTTAAGAACAGCTTATCCTCTTCTTCTTAAAAATTCGCGGCTTTTGCAGAACTAATTTAAATATCAAACCATGTATAGAAAAGGCTTTTAGGTAAGTAGAAATTGGTTAACAAAGTCTGAAGTATTAGTTGTTCTTAAGAATTCGCGGTTCTTCAAAGATCGATTTCAGATACAGTTTTATTCAGAAATAAAGTAATCAGCACAACTTTCCACCCAAGAAAGACAAAATTGGTTATTGATTTGAAAACAATTATGCCGTGTTATTTTATTTTAAATAGTATTATTATTTAAATATTTTAGTTAATTTTTATTTAATTTGACAAAAAGAAGCATGGCCAAGGACGAGCTTGTTATGTTGCACCTATTGTCCGTCAACATAATTTTCAGTGCTGAAAACGCTCTCTCAACACTAATTTGCGTTGCAGGTACAGAGTGTACGACTGTGGCCAGTTGATATAGAATAGGGTAGCGCAGCTTATTTTCTTCCCAAAACTTCATGATGTCTGTATCCAGGTTTATAGGTTTGGGGCAATAGCTGCCAGTTTAAAGGCTGTGTTACTGCACAAAATGAACAAAAAGCCTAGTATTCCGCTGGCTCTGGGTACCAATTAGAAGGAAACTTTTCTAAAATCATAACACCTTTGGAAAAATACTGCACCAGTCTAGAAACTATAATTTGCGTGCAATTCAATTCAAACCTAAAATTGTTGGTAAGCCTGCTGCTTGAATATTATAAAAAAGTTCATATTTGTGCTTAGATGGCTTTAATTCGCAAAATATGGCCGTTTAAAGGTAAAATACCGAACATTTTTGCTCATTTTTCGATTTTTAACGCGCTAGGGACACTCCATCGCAAGAGTAATTTGTCAATTTAGTTCCTCTGGTTCATAGCTACATAATCACTGAAGACTTGATAGTGAAATTTTAATCGGTTCACAAGATATGGCCGTTACAAATAAATTTAAAACTTTAATTCGCTATAAAAGGTAAATGCGAACTAAGCCAGAGAAACCAAGATGGGTTTTAGCTCATTTCGATGAGTACTTTCTGCCCATGAAATCAGAATTGCGGTTACATTTTATAACCCTAAAAATGTTGCACAGTGTAATTATTATTTACGGTCCCTGGTTTTGGACAAACTGACAAACAGAATTAAATTTTCATTTTGGGAAGACGTAGAAAATCTTATTTTGGCTATAACTTTTGAACGGAGCGTCGGATTTTATTATATGACCCCTCATTCGACGGGTACTTTCAATAGGAACACAACTAAAACATTGCGAGGCACAGTGTAAGATTTTGCCAATCTAGCGGGACTTTTAGCAAAAGTTGAACTATTTTGAGGTCGATGAGCTTTTAGCAGCACTTTTAGAAATGTTCAGCTATTACGAAAACAGGCACAAAACAATACAAATAATTTTTTTTTGGGAGATAACGGTTTTTAAAGCTGGACTTTAGAAATGCATGCAAAATTGCTCTGGGAAGCGAGCAACAGTTGACAAAGTTTAGTCTTATCAATTGCATCGCGTGATCAGTGGGAGCTGCCAAAAGTTATTTTTCCCAGAAACTTTAGACAATTCTTAATCCACTTTTAAAAACAAACAAATTTTTTTGGGACCAAAAAATTTTTTTTTCATTTATTGAAAAAAGTGCCAAAAAGTAAGTGTATTTTTTCATATTTCTGTTTTTTGGTGGAAAAAACTTATATTATTCTATCGTATTCTATCCAACAAGAACATACATCATTCGCATGCATTCATTCTGATTCAGAATCTAGAATAAAATCTGGCCCATATTTTGCCCAAAGACCTTCTATTTAGAAATGAGTGAAATAAGCCTTGCTGCATTTTTCGAGGTTTGGTCGAAAAACATAAAAACCACCACGCGAGACGCTCTTGTAAAGCACGCAGTGATGGTGTTTGGCAATGACATTGATCACTCCAAATTGAAATTACACTGTCTTTTGAGTCTCAAAACCGATTTGAGAAATCTAGGAGAGATAAAGCCAGGTTTTTTGCTCATAATGCAAGTGGCCTTCAGGTCACATAAAATGGCAAAGACTTTCGCATTGATGTCATTGCTTCCACCTCAAGTACAAGAGGGAGGTCACAAAAAGTCTTTTCTGAGTGTTTTCCTAAAACACAAAAAAGGAAAAGCCAAGAATTGTTGCCTACGATAGATGAGGATCAATTGCTATCAGCTGCAGAGCAGGCTTTGCGGGCAGAAGGAAAACGGGATTCAGCTAAATTAATTAATGAATTACCAAATGCTCCCCCGTCCACGGGGACTATAATTAAGAAAGCTAAATTATCTTCTAATAGCACTGCAAAACACCTTTCAGCAGATCAAGCACTTGCCCTTCTGTAGAAATAGAAGTACAATACCACAAAAATTGTCTGTCCAAAATTATATCCATGTTATGATCTCGTTAAGGAGCCAAAAATGTTATGCTGTCCTACTGGTATAAAAGTAAGAGAATCCTATGCTGAAATAAGTTTACAATCCCTTATTGATCATACCGTAAAACGGCTGATAAGTGCTCAAGAAGACATTTTTGAGTCACTGTCTCCACTAGACGATGTACACATGAAGTTTGAATTGTTACCATTTAATAAAAAAAAATCTTAAAAATATAAACCAAAGTTTTTTTGTTTTTGTTATCAATTATCTTTAATATAAAACCTTATTTGCAGCTGCTCAGCTTATAACATCGAAGTTACAGCTAAAAACATGAGCATATAACCCAAATTCAACATTTTTCAAAAAAAAAAAAAAAAAAGTGGTCTCCAAAAATTGAAAACAAAATTTTTTAAGTTGGCGAAAATTATAACAAAAAATAAGAAAATAGTTAAAAATGTTGAACATTTTTTTAAAATATTTTTTTTGGGGTTTTTATCTTAAAAAAACAGTTTTTTTTTAATTTTTAACGCCCCCAAAAATGCCACGCCTATTTTTTATGTCCAACATAATCGTTGGGCTTACTAGAATATTCACTCAAAATTTGAAGCCGATATCTTTAAAAATACGACTCCTACTGATTTAAGTCCCCCTAGATTGGCAAAATCTTTCACTGTGCGAGGGGGCATTTATCCCCAACAGGTCCAAATTTCGAAATTTGCACTTTTTCACTTTCACCGCTCTCTCTCCCAAGCCAATTGACCTTTTTAAAGTCTTGGTATGCAATTCTTTAAGATTTTGCAATACCCTTCGATTGGTGTATTACTCATTACAATCGGACTATCACAGCAGATTTTCAATTTTGCGGCTATATAATAGTAGTCGCCTTAGCACACTCTCCTGGTGCGCTTCGTCACTACATGGAGAAAATCTAAAACAATATGTTTTAGACAAAGTACTAATGTTGTGAAGAAAATAAGTGTAAGGATTTGTGTCAAATAATTTCTGTTTTGTTTTAGGAATTTTTTGCAAGTTTTTTTATATTCTTAAGTAGTTGGCATAGGACAATTTACAGTAGTTTTTGCTGAAATTAAGTAAAAAGTTATGATAAAATCTTTTATCGGCTTATAGGCTAAAAATAAGGAATTTTTAAATTTTAAACAAGTAGAAAATATAAAGGTATACTTAATTTTCAGTTTTAATTTCCGCAGGCGAAGCTGCGCTGTGCTCAATATAGTGCATCAAACATAATTAAACTATTTTTTCATATCTGAAGTTGACGAAAACACATCTTATTTTTGTCCCATTCTTTTATATTAAAGTAGTTTCGATTCTTTAAATTCTCTGTGAGCAAGCTGTGTTTATGAAATTCACTTACTCTGTTCCTTCGTTTGCATTTCGGGCAGGATATGTGATGGTATATAGTTACTACCTTTCATGAACATCTCTACTCCATTAACTCGAAAAAAGAAGGTGTTTCCTACGCCGTCAGGAGCAGGCACTTCGACCAGTTCAAGCGTGCGAAAGCCTACTCGGAGAGACCTGTGCGACTTGGTCCTAGAGCGAACATCGGGCCCGTCATTACCCAGCCAGGCCTTCAGAGTGAAGTGAAGTGGATAAAGTTTCTGGTCTCCATAGCCATTTGGCCACCAAGTTACGACTTTCTCCTGCAAAGTGAATAAAGCACTTGACATAGATTTTCAAATGTACATACATTTATAGATAGAACTAATTCGTGTCGATTTATGTACCTAGCAGACGGTACTCACAATTGACACGGCCTGATCAAACTCAATTACTGGCGTCATGGTTTTCAGTGCGTATCTGTCTACGACCACCGGATGGTCCAATAGCTCGCTGCAACTCGTAATGCCTATGAACAAGCCGCTTTATTCAATTGTTACAAGTTCACTTACACAGCGTATAATATAAGCCTTCCGTTGAAGTCCTTTTCGCCCATCGCGTCCAGGTAGCAGCGAATATGCATGTTCCAGTGCGATCCATTGATGCGGCTGACATCCACATCCACATCGCGTATGACGGCCACCTCGTAGATTTCAAGCGCCACGTTTTTCCAGATCCCAGCGGAGGGGGCTGCGGGACCCCAGTCCCAAGAGAAGCTCGCCTGCATCTTCCGCAACATGTTCATATGGCACTCGCCATGGTAGCGCTCGTTCGGGCAATCCGGAGGTACGGTTTTCTTAGCTTCATTCAATACATTAGCTCTAGCTAGGGCAGCAAGTACGGGAGATTGGATCTCTACCTCCAGAAAGTTTTCTACTTCGAGTAGGGAGCTCACTTCGTACGAGTAGCGTACAAACATGTTGTCTGTCTGTCCCAGCAGCTGATGGTTAAGCCGAATTTCTGACACGGCATCTATGCCGTGGAAAGTCAGGTTGATGTGGCCGCGTTTGTAGTGATGGACGTCGACTGTGGCGGTTATTAGCAGAACAAATAAAAACGAAAAAGAATGCTAGCTTCGGCTTGGCGAAGATATTGCAGATAATTCATATTAAAACCTAGTACTCACATCAGCTAGTAGGATGTGAAAAAAGAATGTTTCCGTAAAATCAATATGGTTATGTAAGTTTCAGGTCATGCAAAACCCATATAGTTTTTACATGAAATACTCTTTTCGACCAGGTCAAATTTACCTGGCCACATATAATATTAAAATTGATATTAAATAATGTAAAATTGGTCTACGTTTCATATCGATTTTCTTTTTGGTATACAAAATACAACTTTTATGTAAACAACAAAAACTAAAATAAAACATTTATAAATAACTAACAATAACCGAAACGACGTTGTCCGCTACTATAAGCAAAACCTTTATTTCGGATTTTTTCATATTTCCAAATTTAAATTAATATCCGAGTAAAATCCCGTTAAACAGTAAACCCACCTAAAGCGCACTAACATTCTATCCATATTCTTCTAGCCATAATATACCTTACCTTAACACCGCATTAAACCTAATATTACCTCACCTTAACCTCACCTATTTTATTCTCACCCTTTGCATACTTTTTTAGCACCTTAATGCTGTTTTCACTATTTCCTCGTCTTAACCCACCTTAACACCAGTTTTTCCTCTTCCTAGCTAACCTAACTTTAGTCTCACCTGAAAAAAAAATGTTCCTTTCTATACTTACTTACTTTAACTTCACGTTTTCTTATTTAAACTTGTTTGTAAGCTTTACCCAAACGAACCTTACCTTTCTTACCTTCACCCTTTCTTTACATTATTTTACCTAATACCTACCTAATACCTCCTTAATCGCAACTTAACCCCGTACTAACCTTATTCCCACTGTAACTCCACCGTTCTGGTAGCCGAAATATATCATTTTGGTTAGCTTAGCGAATGCAGAGAAAAATTCTTACTATTTTTTTACCTTTTTTCAAGCAGATTGAAAGCCCAAAAACCTTAAAAACTTAAAAAGTAATATATTAAAAATAACACACAAATACCTATGTAAGGCCAAAATGGTTTAAGCGAAAAACGGATCCGCTCGCATGATCGGTTGGTAAACTAAAAAAAGAAGTGCCCCAATGTCAGCTGGGGATCAACAGCTGCAGTTAAGAATTTCCGGAAATAAAAAAAATTAAAAAAAAAAACGAAACTAAAGCTTCAACTCTTTTAGGTGAAAACTGTGGGTGTGAGCCTTTTGGAGAAGAAATTCTACAACAATTTTCTTCGTATGCCCCTGGCCTTTAACACAATTTAAAAAGTTTTGTAGGTACGTTTTGGCTGGTACAATTTCTAGATTATCAACGTTGTGCGAATACCTTTTCTTAAATTGGTATGTTATTTGTGCACGCATATACATATTTCATTTTATGTTTTTAAAGTACATAAATGCATATGTTCGTATGAACGTGTGTATACGCATATGGGCACTTCCACCAAAAGGTCCACCAAGCCAAAAACCTTGAAACTTGAATAAAACATATTTCCACATGATTTTCTAATTAGTTGTATACTGAGCTTAACTACAAATTTGAAGTATAGTTTGATTATTTTTATGACAAACCACACCAATATACGCAAATATCTGTTTTTGGCTATTTTTTTGGTTTTTTTTGGACCCGTCTTCAGTTGTGAATTTATCCTTTAGGAATGCTAATATGTGACATTTTTCTGTACTGAATGCTTTATTTAAATGTAAAACTATTAAGTAAAAAGCAAAACAGCCAGTAATTGAGGGATAGAGCTAAAGAAATACACTTTACAAGACGCTAAGAAAAAATGTCCCGAGCGACATGTCCCGAGCGAATGTGGTTGAAACTGCATAAAACAAAAACGGCAAACCATTTTTGAGTAAAACCAAAACCATTTCACAGCGACATATTTGGACAACATTCTAAAAAAAATCGCATTCAAATATTCCATCAGAATTCGCTAAATTCTAGTGTTAAATGAACTTCAGCGAAAGTTTTTTAACGATATCTTAAGAACTAAAAGTGGTACAAAATCAAGATTTTTACACAAAATAGAGCTTGGGAAGAGTGAAAAGAAAAGCCCATTATTAAAAATAAAATCAATTTTGTTCCATTTTTTTTTTTCAACTTAAAAGGTGTGCAAATGTCCCGAGCGACAGTATGGAAGTGCCCATATCTCAATAGTTTTTCTAATTTCTTTACAGTTTTAGAGTAGAGCCCAGAAACTAAAACTCCTGAATATATTACGGGATGCATACACATTTTGATTTAGAATTGCATCCATTAGGTGTTTTATCCTAATTTAATCATCACATATTTATGTACATGCGTATTTTCGATGTGTGTGTGAGTCATTGCGTTTCTTACATTCGAATGTGAAAACCAATCAAAATTTTTTCTTAAATCAAAACAAAAACTCCTTTTTGTATTTTACGGGCTAGCTTTACACTTTGACTAAGAAATGCATCTATTAAATTATTCGTTCTGGTATCCAAATAGTAAAATTTTGATCAGGTGTTTCCAAACCAGAAAAAAAAACATTGGCCGTCTCCTTTTTTGCTTCAAATGACTCTCTCTCTGCTCACTCGCTCTGCTTCTGCTCCCCAGCGGCGAAAATTGCCATTACAATATGGATTACGAATGCATTACTTCTCCTCCAGTAGGGAAACAATGGATTACAACATGGATTACTTTGCCATAGGCATGGGCGCCATGTAATGTGGTCGGGACACACTTTGCATTACTAGTAATGGGAAAAGTATGCTAGGGCAAAATGTAGACTGACTAGAGAAAAGTTAACATACATTTTGAAAAACGTATGCTGAGTTGTAATGCTGTTCATTTATGAAAACAAAAAATATTCTTTCCTCATGTAGGAAGTGAACATGGGTATTATTGTATAATGGATGGAAAGGCTAACCGCTCGGCCATTGTCTGTGCTTTTTTAGTTCGTTAAACTATACTTAGAATGCATGCTGTTATTATTAAAGTTTCGAAGCTCAAACGTGACGGAGGGGAAGCGAAAAACGAACACATAGGCAATAATCCACCATCTACCATCCGTTGAACGGATGGTCCGTAAGGTTTTGCCGTTCTGAAAATTTCCCATCCAATTTTGACGGACTTTGACGGGCTCTCTTATGCGATAGTTAGGCGATGTTTTCTCGGTGCCACTCTGAATTCTTCCTCTTGACTGTGAAATTGGAACGATGACTGCGAGAACAAATCAAATCGATGGCGGGAACAAATTAAATAATGCTTCAGCTCATTGTTTTTTGAATCATTTGTAGTTTGTTATGAGCGGAAAAGCGTTCGCAAGCAGGTTGCTAAGTGTGGGCCAAAATGTAAGCTGTTGTGCGTACGAAAACATCAATGTTTACAGCAAAGTGTCAGAATATGTTTTGCACTTCGTAAATATAACTAATATTAATTAAAAGTGTTCTTTGTACTCCTATAAAGTTCCAAAGTTGCTATAAATTACCAAAAACAGCACAAATTTGGTTTTGTTTACAAATTTTTTATATTAATATTGGCTTGGCAGAGGCGTAGTAAGAGCGGAGTGTGGGGTACGGGAGGTTAGGCTCCCCCCAGTCAGCAATATGTATGCATACTCGTTGTAGGATATGTTATAAACGTTAAGATATGTTTTTAAACTATTTTCTTAATCTATTTATTGTATTATTTTACAATAAAATTAGGAGAACGCAATTTAAGACAGTTTTCCCGAGTTGAAATACCCCTTCGTTAATGTTGAGCTGAGCAACTGCTCTTCAGTCAGCTGTTATTGGATGGTAAATGGTGGATGGAGTTCTGTAGGAACACGAGTTTCACATTCGTCAAAAATCCCAACCGCTTCTAACAGATGGACTCAATGGGAAGAGGCTATTAAATTTAGCTAATGGAATGATACATTTATCCAGGCGGCAGATCGGTTTTCGTTTTCTCGTCTGTCATTTAAAACTCCAAATAAAAGGCGCACTAATTTGAGACTAGGTGGCAACACCACAACAGAAGAGTTAACTAATTGTCAAAAATTAGTCGAAAAACTATCGAAAAATACTATAAAACCGTCATACTAACAGCTGATGATATAAACAAAACTTCAAACTAATAAAAAAAAAACAATGTCGGCATAAAGAAAGTTTCGCGGTGAAAATTATACCGATGAACAGGAGACAGTTCTTGTAGAACGGTGTCTTCTTACATGCGTGCAATCTATAGCTCCTATGACTTTCGAAAACTTGGTTATTTTAAAAAAATCGCGGCGATTTTTGTTTAAAAAAATTTTTGCCTGCGGCGCTTTCCTCGCCCGTACCTTACTTCTTCCATTAAAAGCTTATCCAGCTTTCATTCAGGTCATCCGTTCCATTTCCTTTTTTCGAGGAGCATGAACACAATACATCGTATAAAAAGGCAAAATAGGTCCATCACTAGAGTAGAAGGTAACATGCTGTTATCGACTAATCGAAAACTATCTGTCGCCATTTTATGGCGGGATATTGCAGTATTTTAAAATGTTCACACCCAATTTAAAATACTTCTTTTAGTTTTTCCTCGAAAACATTTATGTTTACGAAGAAAATGATTAATACACAAAATATCCGGTTTTTAAATATCTTCTGTTTTTGTCTAAAATATTTTTTGATTTTTCTTTTATTTTCCGAAAAAACAGCAAAAAACCGAAAATTTTACGATTTTTACCGTTATTTTTCAAGATCCCGTTATTTGCGCAAACTTTGGCTATTTTTCCCGTAATCAGGACCCAAAAACACGTCAATATGGAAAGTTTGAAAAAAATTGGGGGTAGGAGCTAAACGGAAGTTTATTCCGGATTTAAATATCCAACAATAAGTCCGGGGCTTTAGGTAAGTAGTGAATGGTCCACAAAATCTAAAATTTTACTTGTTCCTAATAATTTGCGGTTCTAAAAAAATCGATTTTAGTATCGAACCTTTTCTTATACTTTGTAGAATATTTAAATC